TCCATGGGCACCCCGAACCGCATAGGATGCTAATTCATAACTGATGGTCTGAAAACAGTTAAACAAATAACAATAAGATAAACTTAGAAAGTAAGCTCCCTAAATCTCGTTCAGGAGAGTACGTTGCCTTTAGATCGCCCTAAACGTGCAAGTCACTATCGAAGGCAGATCAATAGCAAAGCCTTTGCTTTGCCTTAACTATTCACATGAGGCAGTTCACTTACCCTTTTCTAACCATCATAACATTGCAATCGCTCCAATGAACACATAACAGGATCACAATAACGTGCATATTCAAGAGACATATTCCAGCATATTTTATTGCATAACCATGCACAACGACAATTCAATAATCCAAACATAAGCAATTATCATTCTTAGGCACGTCGCACTCATCGATGCACTTCGCACTCATGATAGTCCAGATTATTAAACGATCTCTTGGGCCACGACACATCCCACAGGAAGGTGGTCTTTCGGCATGACCGGGCATCGTCCCGCTTTGTCAGGCACAACATCGTCTCACCAATCTTAATGATGGCATCCCATAAATGAGTTCGTTCCGAATTCCATTCGCGAACGACTTCGTCTCATCTTGCCCCCGTGACGGCATCCAATTACCAAATTGGGCACGACCTCTCATGGCCACAGCCAAATCCTAGGTTGGCAGTCTTCCGGTATAACCGGGTACAAATGGAACTTTTAGGTGATCATGCACACACAGCAATCACTCAAGTCCCAGTTCTTATCTTTGGAATTTAGCCAATGTCAAGTGTTTATGACGTGCAATTTTTTACGCATAAATCTACCATGAAAATGCACTCATATAACAAGGCCAATAACATTGTCCATTCAATTACCAATCAAACTTATACAAGTCCAATGTTGTCATTTAATCAAATGACTTGTACTAAGATAAGCTATCCTATAATTCAAGACAAGCTATCGCTCAATTCATGATAAGATATCAACCAACTCATGATAAGCTATCAACCAATTCATGATAAGCTATCAACCAACTCATGATAAGCTATCAACCAATTTATGATAAGCTATCAACCAACTCATGATAAGCTATCCACCAATTCATGATAAGCTATCAACCACACTAGATAGGTTATCACATAATAATCAAGATAGGCTATCATTAACTAGATAACCTATCCTCTAATCCACCTAATTAACTCTAAACCTAAACCATTAGCAACCTAATGCCCTAATCAAGGTTTGGAGAGTAAACTTACTCTTAAACCAAAGGGAAACAAGGGAAGGGCCGCTCGGCTTGGGCGGACGCACGGCTCACGGTGGCGCAAGAGGGCGGCGAATGGACGGCGATGATGGTGGTGGTTTGGCTCACGGCTGTGGACAGCAGCGATGAGGGCGGCTTGAGGGCGGTGGTGGCGTCAGAGATGGTGGCGTGATGGTGGCCGGTGGTGAGGTGGGTGGCCGAAACAAGGAGAGTGAGAGGGGAAGAGAGATGAGACCAAAAGAGAGAAATGAGTAGGAGAGAGAAAGTGTCTTGCTTGACACTCAAAAATGGATGGCCAAGATCATTCCTTGCTCAACAAGCTTGAATGAATGGCTAGGATTAAATCTTGCAAAACAAGTTTTACAAATATCCAAGGGTAGGAATGGAATAAAGACAAGATGAGAGGGGTATTTTGGTCATTTTACCCTCCCATGTGGCCAGTCCACTATTGAGGGGTAGAAAGAACATTTTGCCCTTCAACAAACTAAAGGAATCCAAAAAGGCTTGGGGGTAAAAAGGTCTTTTCACTCAAAGACACTATTCATGCCCAAAAAGTCAATTTCTTTCTAGAAGGTTTAAATGGGCCCAAACATGGGCCAAGCCCATTTCTTCCTCCACATGGGCCTTGTCCTTGGGCTTAGTTTCTTATGGGCTTCTCATCTTGGACTCTTCTTGTACAATTTTCCCAAAACTATTCAAATTTGCCCTAAAAGGGCAAAAGCATAATTTCTATCCATTGGGCCCTTGTGGCCGAAATTTATGTCCATGAGGCCCATTGGGCCTTTCCAAATTCGTGGGTCCCCTTGTGGCTCTCAATTTTCAGACCGAAATTCAGTTTTTCAATTTTTTGCGGTTTACCGATTAATAGGCGATCCCTTGAGATTATCCAATAGTCGTCTCTTAATCCTCTAGAGTCCGATATCCTCAACTGGATTAGAATTCGTGGTTAAAATCTCTCAAATGTGTTTTTCGCATAATTAGAACAATGGGCGGCTTTTAAGGATTTTATGTGTTTAACCCGTAGTTGATTCCAAATCAATCCACGTTTAAGTCTTCTCAATTCATGGATGACTCTCAGTTGTCATGTAATCATGAGGGCTCAATTGTCTGTTTCGAAGTATATGATCATTAGGAATTGATTTAAGGTTATTCGAAATCAATCTAGTAATCGTGTGGAATCACCTGCAAACTGATTCTATACTATTGCCGAATCGAGCTATAACCATTCCTGGATCGACTTAAAATGGCTTATGATTATCCCTCATTGATCCTTATGGTCGAATTGTCAATCCATAATTGAGTTCTTTGGTCGTGTGCATTAAAGTCCTCAATTGCCTTTCCCAAAGCTTGGGATACTCTTGAATGATTCTGGAATCAATTCAGAGCCTAATTCTACTCATTGCGCATTGACGAAGTAACCATTCATTACATCCTGAATAGGGTCAAAATTTAAGGATGCCACAAACAGTATTTAGTTTTGCAATCAACGTGTGAGATTTTGTGGGACCACTGCCAACTATTCTAAAAGTTTAAGCTGTTAAATGAAGACGTGGTTTAATATTTAATTATTATAACATTCTCCTTCATGCTTAGTCTGATCCTTTTGCCTAGTACTAAGCATTGACATATTTAATTGGGGAGGCAAATGCGGCCTGAAAAAATTTGAACTCAAAATCTTCAGTTTTGATATCATGTGAACAAAGAATATTTTTCTAAGGAAATCAATCAGTTTTCCTCTCTGATTTTTTTCATTTTATATAATGACAAATATATACACAAAGATAGCCTATTCTAAGTTGTACACAATACTGGACTTTCTACAAATTAGGAAATAAACATAATAGAATATTGGACTTCCTAAATTACAACCTTCATATTCAGTTTATCCTACAACTCATGCCAACATATATATCGTGGTGGACCTATGTGTTGCTTGAGTTTTGTATAAAATGATTCTATCGGGCCTATGTGTCTGACCCTTTTGCTCACATTTAATTTTGTACTATGTCGCGTCTATGCCCATTTATAACTTATATTTTATAGGCATAATAGCATAAATGGTCCCTAAACTTTCGTCCAATGTGCCATGTCGTTTCTGATCTTTTAATTTGTGCAATGTGGTCCTTGAACATTGCATATTATTCAATATGGTCTCTGAACTATTAGTAAATGTTTAATGTAGTCCTAGATTATATAAAAATGTTTGAAAGTTCAAGGATCACATAAAAAATTGGATCAAAGTTCAGGGACCGCATTGAACAAATTAAAAGTTCAGGAGACGATTCTGCACATTGGATTAAAGTTCGAGGACCACAATAAATAAATTACAAGTTCGGGGATCACAATAAATAAATTACAAGTTCGAGGATGACATAGCACATTGAACCAAAGTTCAATGACCATTTATGTTATTTTCCCCTATTTCACACTTATACATGCCCGAAAAATTATTGCCGGTATACTTACTCAGTAGGACCATTGCTTAGTCCACGTAGGGTTGGTTCGAGACTATTGGTTGGATCCCGAGTTATCTCCATCTTCTCGGGCTATTTAAGAGAGTTTTTGGCACAATGAGCTTCGAGTTGGAACCGTCGGGAAATACACGACTTGAGCTATTCCGGGCTTGATGCCGGTCAATGTCATTATGATGTGCAAAAGCTTAAATAGGTCTATGCCTATCCGACGTGCTATCATACTGTTCATTAATTTTTCTTACGTTAAGGATTGTCACATGGTAAGATCTTGTTTACCTAACGTGTTGGCCATATGACTATAAGAACCTCTATCGCCTAAGGAGCATACTAGGAAGGACAACAAATTCTTCTTGTATGTTTTTCATTCCATTATGCTCATTGGGAAAAATATATGAAAAGTCCTAAACCTATTACGCTATTGCCTTTAATTCTAAATCTTTTAATTATATCGATCGAGTTATAAATATTTTCATATTTTATCAATTGGATCCATCCAATTTTGATCGGAAATTGCTGACGTTAACGTCGATTGTATTATTTTATTATTTTTCTCATTTTTTATTTATATTTATATTTTCTTTTCTTTCATTTTTTTTCCATTCTTCTTCTGCCTCATCAGGGGCGGGCAAAGATGTCAGCGATTTCCGGCCAAAATTGATCGGATAGATTTAATTGATAAAATTTGAAAATATTTAAAATTCAATTGACGTAATTAAAATATTTATAATCGAATCGATAAAAGTGTAATAAATTTATAACTTTTTGTACAATTACCCCCCACCGAAGACTAATCCCATATCGCAACAAAGGATCGCACATCGAGTGTCCTGGATCAGGTCCTCTCTAATCACTGATTAAAAAAAAAGGAAAGAAAAAGGAACTATCGACCCAATGATACGAAAGCTTGTGGAAATTCCAGGACCCGCGCGACAACACGAGCCGCAACACGTGGCCAGGCCAGCCTTGTAAAAGATTTGGGATCCTCTTTCCTAAGCAAAACATGGAATTATCGTACAAACCAAAAAAAACATAGAAAAATGACAATGTGGAGAGGGAGAGGAGGAGGAGGAGGAGAAGGGGGGGAGGTGGGACCTGGGTCAGATATGAAACTGGTGGGCGAGGATGCTGCGGAGGCCACTGTCAAACCCCACCGCTGCTCCCAAGATTTGTGGCTCAAAACTCCCCCCAACACACCACTCTTTCCCTTACCCAAGTTTTGATTTTGACAAGTCTTTTGGACAAAAACAAACGAAAACTCACACCCCTTCTTCTCTCTCCCTCTCTCTCTCTCTGTGTCTCTGTGTGTGTGTGTGTGTGTTTTGTCTGTGACCAACCAAATCATCATCACAACAAACACACCACCGTTTTCGTTCTGGAATCTGCTTTTTGTTGGCCAAACCCCTCCCTTCTCCCTTCTCCCTTCTCCAACTACCCCCACCATCCAAGGTTGGCTTTCGTCTCCCTGTTCCCAGTCCACACCCTACACCGCACGATCGATCCCCCTATCGACCCATCAAGAGAGAAGAGAGCCTCCCCTGGCGGTTCTCTTAAAGTCCTCTCCTTTTTTTTATCTGGGTTTTTTCTCCCACTTCGAGTTTGGGGTGCGAGCACTCTCGCTTTCTTGGCTTGCTGTTGGCGGCTGTCGATTTGCTTTTGCTGGAGAAATGAGAGTGGAGGGTGGTGGTGATAACAGGAGGCATGCGGACCCTTTGTGACGCTTGCGAGAGCGCCGCCGCCGTCGTCTTCTGCGCCGCCGACGAGGCGGCTCTTTGCAGTGCCTGCGACGAAAAGGTCTCTCGCTCTTTTTTTTCTTTTTTTTCCAATTATCTCCCCTCGTGTTGTTGTTCTTCTTAGGGTTCGTGAATTGGGCTGATGTATTTAGATGTCCTCCTTGTCGTCTCTGGGGCTGGTGCGGTTTTTGCATGTAGAATCGATTTGGAAGCGTTGACTGTCGATAGTTTAAGAGCTTAGAGATGATTATGGGGGGTGGCTCAGTGAATCAATCGTCTCTCGGACATTGCTGTAACTTATATCCAAATAAATTTCTCGGTGGATTATTCCTGAAGAGTTAATAAGCCCCGATTGAGTGTGAATTCGTTTGTTCAAGTGCTTGATCGGGATGATCGAGAACCTTGTCTGCTGGGTACGTGGATGCTGGTTAGGAAGTTTCTTCTGACATATGCCTTCCCCAAGCCAACCCCAACCCAGATAACATCAGTATCCAAGCAAGGATGCACATGAACTGCCTCGTCCACTTGCATCATGTAATGCTTTATCAACATGGTGATGGGCGTGGCCCTACAGTTACATCGGGGCTGGTCTGGCCCAACTGGCTAAGGCTGTGACTTGGATATGGGATCTGTTGCATCCAGACCGAACGCCTCACGGCGAAGCTCTCTTCGTGGTTGGAGAGGTCAAAATAAGCCCACGATTTGTAGGAAACTAAGCGTTGGTTTTTCCTCCTGTTTACTTTCAGATGTGTTTCTTTCCGCATCCTTTTACCATTATCAGTGTAAGAATCATTGTTGGACTGAACGTAGGTTTAGATAGTTTGACTGTGATCTGGCATCGATCTCTCTCAAAGTTTGATAAAAGAAAGCTTCTTGCTTTTTGCAACTTCTGATTTATGAACTTTAATTTGTTAATAGCTGGTAATGGACCGCAGGTGCACATGTGTAATAAGCTAGCTAGTCGGCATATCAGGGTTGGCCTTGCGAGTCCCAGCGACGTTCCTCGCTGTGACATATGTGAAAATGCACCTGGTACTCTTTCCTTTGAGTTTAGTTGTGTATATCCCCATTGTTTTCTGCTCAAGACATTCAATCTTATGACGTTCTTATTGAACTGTTTGTATAGCTTTCTTTTATTGCGAGGTAGATGGAACCTCGCTTTGTCTGCAATGCGATATGATTGTTCATGTCGGAGGCAAAAGAACGCATGGAAGATACCTTCTACTAAGGCAGAGAGTTGAGGTTGGTCACACATTTTATTTCCCGTATCAACATCAATCTCTTGTCTGTCTATTCAAGTTCGAGGTATCATCTTTTCTTGTAGTTTCCCGGGCATAAATCTGCACACAGCGACGACCAGGCTTTGCCATTGGTGGATCAAAACGAGAAAAGAGTGCAAAATCAGGGCCCTATAGTTATATCTGGGGAGAATCATCAAAACCATAGACCATCCAGTGTTAAGGTGCCTGATGCTGATGCTGATGGGCACACCAAGATGGATTCAAAAATGATCGATCTGAATATGAAGCCCCATAGAATGCATGACCAAGCTTCCTATAATGAGGTTAGTGAGGAATTATGAATATGCATGTCCGGGATGTAATACATGCATATTAATCTTTGTTAATATTCCTTGTGACTGGCTTTTCACATCTTACAAGTGCGTAACTAGTAACAAAAGGGGGAGGCACTGGCCCAAATCTGTGATATGTAAAGCATGTTGTCTCATGAAAAGTACGGTCATATTGGTGTTGGTAATTGTTGGAAGATTAGTCGTGATATCTATAGTTAGAGCTTTGATGACGTTTCTCTGCACATTCGTGTGGTGTTTGCTCTGTGTTTTGTTGGGTGTACGGGTAGTTAAATAAATTTGTTTGCAAGAGGACAGTTATAAGTATTGACGCAAGTCACGCAACAGAGTTCTTATGTAAAGCAAGAGGGGGTTGCAGGAGCAGTCAATGGCCATAAGTTGAATTCTCTTAAAATTTATTTTGAAGACGAAATACCAACCTGGGTCCTTGTTTCTGGTATGACTTAATTGGCTTAATTGGCACCTTCATTTTACTTCTCATCTATGCATTAGATTCACTTTAGGAGAATATCTGGGGCTTTTCCCTAATAATGCTGCACATCTTTCAGCCAAGAGATGTCTTTGTGAGGAAAACATCCAGGACACTCTAGTTTTTTGTGGACTCGTATTCTGAAGATTTGAAAATGGTGACACTAGTCGGAATGATGAATGCTTAATTGGTCTTAGTTCTCACTCAGAGGGTGCTATTTAAAATTGCGTGGGCCATTTTAATAAATTTTGAGACTTAACTCTTTCTAGTTCAGACTGAAAAGCTGGCAATATGACTTAAGTTTACATTTTTGGAAGCGCAAGTTGATATTAATAACTTAGTCAAATCTTCACTCAGTTCTGCTAGTTAGATGTTAATGCGATTCTCGCGAAGTCAGTTTATCCCTATCCTTCATGTGGGTTACCACTGAGATTTTGTATTGTTTCAGTATGCCCAGTTGATCCCGATTACATTGTGGGGTTTGCTACAGAAAAAAGCTCATCATGAAAGAGTTGAGCCGTCAGTGTGACTGCTTTGTTTCGATATTGTTATCAATCACTTTAATTTTGTTAAAGTGCTTGATTCTTCCTTGTTTGCTTATAATTGTCTTTATACCTGCTGCAACTTGAAAATTTCTCTTGATGAAATGGTCTAGCGTGGACGCAACAATCACATTCCTATTGTTCTCTCCACAAAGTATCATAGCTGTTCTTGGCCTTTGAGAATTAGTATACATGATCACCACACCCTGCTTGCAATACCAGTAAAGAAAGGCTGAAGAACTAGATTTCCATTCTTCTGAGTGTCGATTTCTTGAAATTCGGCCTTCCTGGTTGTGATTCTCATATATGATGCCCGACATTCCTAAGCCACCAAGGATTTTGTTTTGGCAGCAATGACAATAACCATAACCCTGGCGAAGCGGGTTCGGTGGAAACTCGAACTATGATGCGAGAAGTGCGGTCGACAACCCGTCTTTTTTACATGGCTCCTCTCTGTGCCTGATTTTCATCTTCTCCTTCACCCTTCTCTTGGTGAGAGTTCTTGGAGACACGTGAATCATGTGTTTTTTCTGGCCTAGTGTCATGGTCTCAGCTTGTCTTTGTCCAGACCAGAAGGTCAATTGTTTCCTCTTTTTGGGCAAACCAAGGGACATCAAGTCACTGCGGGTAAGTGCTTGTAACTAGAAGATTTACCCGTGCCATGCACGGTTGCAACAATCTAAATATAAGTAAAGTCATATTTACTGTTTCCATCTATGAAGATGTAACACTCATTTACTTTAGTCACATAATAGAAGCTTGGCAAATAATTCATTTAAAAAAAGATGCACTTATGCGACGCTTCTATAGCCTATTAAGCTTGTGTGATTCTTGTGATTTTAAGGGTAAGTGTGATTCGTAAAAAATGAATGATCTGAAAAATATTTTCTTAAAAATGATCGATTGTATCGCTTACAAAAATGAATTAATAAAGAAAATTTCACAATTCACGTAAATGTTGAGACATAATTGTTATCGGTAATGAAAATATTTTCTAAAATATTAGATCGCGTCTTCATTTAACAACTTAAACTTTTAAAATATTAGCGCAGTGATTTTTTATTTGCCTCTTCAATTACATATTTCCAATTACATATTTCCACTAAAGGTGTGCTTGCGTATTTACCCCAATGTAAAAGCGACACCACAATACACAAAATGCTCTCTCTTTATACGGGTGAGACTAAGGATGTATTTGTGAACGCAGCATGGGATAGAAAGACACCCAAAAAAAAAAAAAAACTTAAGGTTTGAAGTTTTCAAATGAGGCATTGGGCCTTACCAAAAAAAAAATGAGGCATTGGGTGTTATTGTTCCACTGCATTTGAACGAACACATAAGAAGGGACGAATGCCAATCTAATCTTCTAAACTAATACTCTTTTTTGTTCATAGTAGTCCTTGAAATTAAAGCATGTATGTAACACTGATAGGAATTGCCGCGTCGGAGCTAACCTGACCCCAACGATACTATGGAGTAAAAAATAACCAAATCCCAAACAAAAAAGGGGGGAAGAGCGAAAGATGGTGCAACCGTTGCTTGGCATCTCGGGCTATGGTCGAACTGCGCCACTAAGCTTAGGTAAGGGTCGTTAGGGAGGTGCAACCGTCGCCGGTGTTCATCAAGAGACAGCGGCTCTCGTTGGGATTAGGTAAAAGTTCTTCCATCTCTCCGCTCTCTCGGTCAATGCAATGGAGGCTCAAGGTTCTAATCGAACATTAGGTAAAAATTCACCAATTAACGGTGCTTGTGTTCCTAAGAAAGCTTGATCATCGAAGACAAATACCTTTGATTGATTGAGGAAAAGATGCACAAACGACTTTCACATTACATTCTGCATCTCGCGTTTTACATATTGATGTTCACCGATGAAATGAGACGGTTCGAGACAAATGGCCTGTTTTGCGTGAAAAGAAAGAATCAATCCAACTGCTGAGAGACAGCTATGATTATAATATTCTATAATAATTAGAACCTTCATATCTAACATTTTACAGATTACCCACGTAATAACCCTTCACCTAGAGTTCAATTGGAAGCAATTCCAGTCAAAACCACACCGAACCAACCAGAAATGCTCAGTTTTGCGGAATTTTATCACTCTGACTCGGTCTATTCTCTATAGTGAAACTTTTTTCACACAGATATCATCATTCTCACGTTCTAAAATTCTCAAAACAAAACTTAAACAAGTCGACGTAACAGAATGAGAAACGGAATGGAAAGCAGCATTTGCGAAAATGTCAATGTCAATGATGATAGAATTTGATTGCATCTTGCAAAAGCAGATAGATGGTAGAATGAATCAACTATGTACATTGATACAGAACTGTACAATATTCCCCCCAAACATTCCAGCCGTCCTGCCAATTATTGGCCGATTCGGCAATCGATCAAAGTCAACTGTACATATTCACCCCAGTTTGAGCGGAATGCCTGCATAACTGGAACCACAAAATATTTGTCAGCTAAGAGAAAATCAACAGCCGATCAAAAGGAAATGATTTTGGCAGTACTATCGACTCGGAAAATCATCAAGTTGTGCCATAATTCCCTATAGAGCGAACAAATTGTTAATAAGCAAAGACATTTAAAGGGGAGAGCAGAAGTACCTTACAACAGTCATCATGACTGGAAGAGAGTCACAGTTGCTATATAGCCATTCTTCATTACCTGCTTATTCAGAGGAAATCTTTAGCAATCACTCTTTTTTTGCTTGGGATAAACGAACATCTCTCTCTCTCTCTCTCGTATACTTGAAACTATGAGGTATCTCTGTAGCTCATACTCACCTCAAAAGCAACATTCTGATAACCATACACGAAAGTAGATCCAAATGGATTGCTAGTAGAACCTTGAGTTTGTATAGCAGCTCGACCACAGTCTCCAAGGATCTCCTACAGATGGGTTTGCATTGTTTAGTTAGGTGTCCATAATGACAAAATGAACAAGAGAGAAATATAGAAAAAAAAAAAAGTCAGAAGCCAACTGAAGCAGCATGCGAGGATAGCAATATATGACAGACTTTCAAGTTAGAATGTTCTATTGAACACATGAAGACATAATACACTTGACAGGAAATGAAAAACCATGAAGCTAAGAAGGATCCAAAAATTAGTCTAGAGAGAAATTTTAAGCTTATTTTTTCCAGATGAAAAGCATGATCAAACTTATTCTTTTTTTTTTTTTTTTGGATTTTGCCTCTTAAAGGAACTGAGCCCTTGTGCAATTGACTATCTCGATGCTGCAATGTCCACAGAACAAGATAAGACAAACTATGATTTTCTCTATCTATTTCTAAACAGATTTTTCTTCAAATTTGTGTTCTGACAAGAATTAAACCTTTACTTGCTCCCATTTTGTGCCTGCAGTAATCCTATTTTTAGAACCAGTCACTTCCTGGAAGGAACTGCCAACTGCAAGCAGAGAGAGAAGAATGTCAGTCCATCAAAAAGTATCCTCTGTTTAAGGACAAGATAAACTGTTTTCAGCCCGTCAAAAGGTATCCTCTGTTTAAGCACAAGGTAAATTGTCTATTCCTCTCTCCCCAATAGAAGAAACGTGTCTGTTCCTCTCACTTCCCCTTGTTTCCTTTAACTAAACTAGACTTTCAGCAGATGCAGTATTTCCAATAGAAATGGTAAATTTAAACTATACAAAGGAAGATAGAAATGTTGTTTAACTCAGAAATCATTTAACTGGTACTAGGCACCATATGGATTAGTTCAGTGTGCAAAAATTATGTAACGCGAAGTTTCTCACCAAAGAAATAGGTAACTTGAGAAGTACATAGAGCTTAAAAGAAGCAAGGAACATATTAGTTGGAGAAAGAGAGACTTTAAAGTGCCTAATGTGCTGGTCTGTCTCCCAAGAGAATGAAAAACAGAAGTGCCCATGCAAACATCCACGGAGAATTGGAGCTTTGAGGAGAAAATGTATCTATTCTATAACACTAGCAATGAACATCATATTTTAAAATGAGAGGAGAGGGTGCAATTCGTATATGTCATTTTCCAAATTTCAAAGGTTTGATAACTCTTACATATATTAAGAATGTGAGCAGAAGCGCACAAGGACTATTTAAAATTTAGCAGTGAAACTGAGTAGACATTTAATTTAATGCACTTGGTTGTGTCTCTTTAAACAATTTTGCTAAGGGGCAAAACTGAAACTAACTAAAAGAGGGATCAAATAGCCAACCAAAAAAAAAAAAAAAGAGGGACCAAATCTTGTTTTCCGGTTACAGAAGTAGAGATAGCTCTGTTTCAACAGCTGAGAAGAGGGAAAGAACTTACGATCGGAACCATAGACAATAAAGTTGCATTTTATATATGAATTGAAATCCGCATGCCCTGGATAGTTTGTATGCAATACAAACTTTTTGATTTTGTGAGTCTGCAAATTTATAAGAGCTACGTGAGAAAGGAGTATAACTTGAAAATGGCGAGGATCGAGACAATAGGAATGTATATACAGACCTGCCCATCAAATAAGATATCTAAGCCCCGAGTGAAATAATTGTAGAAATAATCCCCACAGAGAGTTGTCTTTGGACGTGGGTCTGAGGCAGAGTGTATTACCATTTGATCGACCTGTTAAGCCAACAGAGAGTATTTAACAAGAGTATTGAATTCCTATTGAGCATGTTACCTAACTTTCCAAATAAAAAAAGCTCAGTAATACTCCCAAGAGAAGAGCAGAACGACGACGATGACCATGACCATGACCATAACCAACAAATACCTGGGGTAACAAATTATCTACATATAAATAAACAATTCCTAGTCACCTAAGAGTTAATGGGAGCGAACTATAGCCCTCATGGTTCATATCTCATAGCTATACGAAACTCAAACATCTGACACCCCAGCCAGGCCCCATTATCCCTTTGACACAACTGATTCCTATTGCAAATTTAGAAGCAAATCCAGAAAAAGTTGCTTCAACTGCTAACACCCTCGATGCAATCTAACGTCCCCCCACCCTGCAGGCCTCCCGCGCAACAGACACAAACAAGTTTGCAGTGATGTGCACATGTCTTTCTGGTAGAAATATAGCTTCGTTTTCGGCTTAACTTAATACTGACAAATAAAATTAAACAAAGGACTGATTCTTGCCAGCAACTGAATTTTCTAGAGAAAAGATATGGACAATCTTTTGACCTGTTTTTGATGAATTCCACATGGACGACCTAATTCAGTCCACACATCCTGCACAAAAATCATGAAATCTTAGAGCTCTTACCAGATGAACAACAAATTAAAATAATATTCGTAGACTCAACAACAGAATCTATCGATTTTATCCATCAGAAGTTCAACAGCTTAATGACAGACAACAATCAAAGCAATCACAACTTCTTAAACCACCACAATGAGTTCTTTAATCCAATGTACTAATGGAGGCATAAAGTACATAGGGTATTCAGCAGAAAAACCCAAATACTATGTCCAACACCGTAAATTTACCTGAGGCGATGCACCAAAAGGAATACACTGTCCACCAACGGTGAAATGCAATTCCTCTCCAAGCTGATAAACCAAGACACAACAGCTTAAAGTCATGCTTCCCCCTAAAAAGACATCATAAATAGAAGCAAACCGGACAACCAAACTTGATCTATTTAAAGAGAAGGATCTCCAAGATCAATGATTCTTGTATGCACCAAATTTGCTCGACAAAGGTTAGTGATAAGCATGAGCATACAAGAGGCATAAACATTAAAAACACGACACCACACCTAGGCACGCATACAAACCTAATTACTTCAGTAGTCACGAAGGGATCCGAATCATAATTACAGTTGAAAGAGAGTGATATCAAACCTTAACATGTACTTCCTCCATGTAGAGACTACCAGGAGGTAAGGGAGGAACAGAAGCTTTATCCATTAAAGCTCCTACACCAACTTTCTTGTCTGTGGAGCTATCATATATAGACACACGGCATGTAACTGGAGTGGTGCCATCGGGAAACTCTAGGGGCAGTTCCGCTTTTTCAAGGGAAAAGGATGAAATCAAACATCAACAGCAAAATATCTCATGAAACTAAAATAGTTTATATCAACTGAACCACAAAATACCTTCTCTGTCATGGCAGCAATCTGTATATTGGCTTGGAATAGGAAAAGCAAACGATAGCCCCTAAAAAAGATAGCAGGCTTCAAATGTGATGTACCATGTACACAGAACATTCTTGAAAGAGTCGAGAAGTAAATACTAGGTTTCCGATATACATACTGGGTAGAAAAGAGTGTAGACACCTCTCTCTTTGTCGTAGATTCCAGGAAAAGTTGGTCCAAAAAGTGCGTACACAGCTACAAATGTGGCAAGAGTCGATGGTCCACTACAGTTGAAGTATTAAATGGGTTAAGGTCCACAGTCATTGCCATGAAAAGCAATATAACTAAAAGAAAGATCATAACCAACCCGATGAGAGAATTGGAGTAGCGCATCTGAAGTCTCTTGACGTCAAAAATCTCAACCAGACGTAACCTCTGAAACCAAGTTCAAGGGCAGAACTGAGAAACTTGACCACACCATAGAATGACGACCAATATTTCTAAAGTATTAGTTAATTAAAACAAATATAACATAAAGCAATCAGATGATTCCTAAGTTGTCGGAATATTCAATTGTGTGAAGCTCCTATTGGAATATTGGATGTACATGCCAGTTCAATTAGGTTGAGGTGAAAACATACACATCGAGTGAGGAGTGTTCAAAAAATTTAAATAGAAAAATGTAAGAGTATGCATAATGAGAGAACCTGGGTGAATCAAAATTTGAATACCTATAACAACCGTCTTTCAGACAAGTAGACTCCTTTTGAAAGGGATGCTTTCTACAGCCTAGGGTAAAAAATAAGGCTTCTGCACAAAGTTTACCGTACGAGTTTCCCCTCACTTGAAAATGCAGTAGGTTGTTCGCATAGCAGAGTGGTCTTGGCATAACAAGCATGAGATAGAAATATCAACCCCATTATCACGTCTCAACAAAGAGTACCATGGTTCAAGTGTATAAAACCTTCGTTTCCCTTGAAAAATTAAGAGGCAAAAACCACATTCCTCTACTTCCAAATTCACTACGGGATTCCAAATCAGCTATCAATCATAAACACTTTCTCCAGGATAAACGACTAACACAGGTCGCCAGCTCACAAGTACCAACCAAGTGAACCACAGTAGTTAAGCTGATGCCCAATAAAGATAAAAATGATTCAAATTGAGAACAAACCTGCGACCAAGGATCGAAACGGAGATGAAAACCATGATCTGGAAAACTGATAACCATATCCAGCTTTAGTGGATCCTGCACATGATTGCGCTTTCTAGTTGATAATCCCACTCAAAAATACAGCCCAATGTTACAAGCAACATTTTCTAAACAGTCCACTAATGCAAATCGCAAACTCCGGTGGAATTGGAAATTTCTAAGATACACCCAAGTACTGCACAACAATGAAGCTTTTGAATTCGATCACGATGAATCCTTCTAACGTGGTAAATTTGTACTGTACATCGAGCATACCGTAGAAATGCCCCATTGGAATCGCGGGCACTTGAAATGAAACGTAAAGAAAGAGAAAGAACATCAAATTTAGAAACATCGACCTCGTCATAATACTTGACATGGACGACATCGTAGATGTTCGGTTGCTGCTCAATCTGCGCGAATGCTTCACATATCGGCATCCCTGCATCGACGAAACACACGTACCCCCCACCATCAGACAACAATTTCTAACGAGCCCGAGGGAAACAACCCATTCACCTAAATTACAGTCCCACGAATTCGCTGACACGAAAATACACGCGCTTGGTTTCGCTGCCATCGTACTTAAGCACCGGGCCACTTTACTATCATCAAACACCGGAAAATGAACAAAGTACACCGATTTTCCGCGTCGACAGAAACCTAATCATCCGCCAGAAATCGCGATCACTACCCACCGCCGATCAGCTAAGAATTCTCCGCAAAATCAAATCGGACAGAGAAAACGAGACGAGGAAATGATCAGCTTCGCGAAACCGCGGCCGCGACGATCCCCCCCCCAAAGTCGTCCAAGCAAAGAAGCAAATCGAACTCGAATTACCGAGGGAGAAAGGTCCGATTCCGAGGCCGGGGCGGAGGTCGAGGACGATGGCGCCCATGGCAGTGCCCTCGCAGCGGCGTCTCGGCCTCTGCAACATCGATCGGGTCGGGTCGGGTTCACCGGATCTCCGTCGGTTCTTCTGCGGCGGAAGCGAAGGGAAGGGAAGGGAAGGACAGCGGAAACGTTTCGGAGTGTTGACGAATTGGAATGGATGCGTGCGGGGCCGGTGGGAATTTCTGGCGATCGCGTTCGGTGCACGGAATCGATTCGGGTGGGGTGCGTGGGGGGGTTAACCAACCGGGTCGGGCCCCGTGCCGTAGGAAGAAGCCGGGTTCCAAAGTTCCCACGAAATGTCCTCTCTTCCAAATTTGAATAAAGGGTGATCGATTTCTGGATTGATCGATTCCAGTTTGTGAAATCGAAAACCAACTCACTCGGTATTGAAATCGGTGATTTCTTCTTCTTCTTTTTAATCGTTTCTTCCGTTTCCTATGAATGGAAATTTCTTGACATCGAAAGAAAAAATAATTTACAATTAGAATTTACTTTGTAATAAAAAAAAAAATTGAAGACTTCTTGATTGGTTCGTCGATTCGGTCCAGGTGATTTGGTTGGTCCGATTCCTTATGTGGAAATGGGGAACCGGATTGGTTATTTCCAGTTCCAAAATTTTGGAATTGGGAATCGGATCGACCCTCGAAACCATCCAGGATCAGCTGATTTGGTTTGGTTCCTAAGCTGGACCAGGATCGCTGCACACCCCTAGTCCGAATGACTCCAGGCGAGCCTTAGTAATTACTCTCAATCAATATTAAATTTTTTCCCCTTTCAGCATATGATCGGTCTCGCTCAAACATTTGATTGATTATATTTAGTGTATAATTATACGACCTCACGAACTAGTTCTCAAATATAAAAATTATAATAAGAAAAAAAAAACGCGCACCTAACATCAATTTCATTTTTCACAATTGACGGTGATTATAGCAAAGCTCGAATCCACAACTTCCACCTTGGAAAAGCTTGGGAAGTGTTTTTCGTACTTATCGATGTCTGCTCAATTTCCTTAAACGGTATCAACTTTAGTTCGGATTCCAATTTTGACCCGAATTTTGTTTTTGTCTCGCAAACATATACTAACTTTGGGTCGGGTTCCAATTATGATCGAGCCATTTTTTTTGTTGTCACATTAAAAACACCGCCATTCGATTAGTACCCAAATCCGATCCCGTCAAGTTTTGATGTGATCGATACATCGGACTATAGTTCAATAGATGTAACTATAATTGAGGAGCAGTCAATCAAGTGGTGGACGTGCGGCCGAAAAAGTAAACAAAAGGAGTGGACGGGCCCAAGAACCTCACAAATGGGCTGGGCCCCAACTATCTCCTCGGGATGGCGTCCGGGCCCATCCTCAAGCTCAAAACATTAGTAGGGCCCACCAAATATAAGAGCTATTTAGTGGACGGGCCTGACCAAACATGTGTCCCGGTAAGGAAACCTGGTCGAAGGAAACTCCCTCCAATCATCGTCGCGATTCGTCCGCATCGCATGTGTTGAGATTAAGGGTGCGTTTGGTAACCATTCTGTTCTCGAAAATAATTTCTGCTCAGAAATGATTTTTTTTTATTCTGTTCCCGGAAACAATTTCTAAGCATTTGAAGGCGTATGGTAATTGTCCAAAATTTCTATTCCTGGAATAAAAAAAGAACAGAATGCGTTTGGTAACTGCACAATTTTTTTTATTAATAATATTTTGAATTTTTTTTCTTTTTTTTAATTTTTTTTTCTTCTTCTCCTTTCTTGGCCCATGGCCAAGTCGTCGGTGCCGGCGACTGACCACAGGCTAGGGCCGACGAGGGCGAGGGCTAGACCCTCGCAGCCTAGGCGAGGGTCGGTCGCGAGGGTCTATCTCTCACCAGAGACGATGAGGGCGGCTCGCGGCTTGGGCAAGGGTCGCTATCGCCAGATCCGGCAAGGGCGGCCCTCACCTAGGCTGTGAGGGTCCAACCCTCGTCCTCACCGGCCACCGGTCACATGATAGGAAAGAAGAAGAAGAAGATAAAAAAAAAAAAATTTCTTTTCCATTTCTGATTCTTGTTCCCAAAATCAAGACTTAACTTTTTATTGATTCTTGATTCTGTTCCAAAACTGATTCTGGGAATAAATTTGTGCCTGAAAATAAAAAATTTAGCAAACGGATTTTTGTTTTTTATTTATTTCCGAGAACAATAGAATAAAATCAGGTATTGTTTGGCCGGTTACCAAACATGCCCTAAACAGACATGAATGTTGTTCGTACTTGTAGCCCGCCAATCATGATTGGAAGAAAATGTGGGCACGATAATTGTTTAAAAGTCGTAAACCTATTGTACAGAGATCAATCTAATATTAAACTTTTCAGTTTTGTCAATTTAGTTTTAACATTTTGACGATTTGTTAGTTTAGTCCTAAATTTTTTTGATAATTTTATAATGTAGTCATTTCAATTAATTTTGGCAAAAATTTGCTGACATAACAGTCCAATCAGTGTCGCCCTTCGTACATGGCACTACTAGCATTGACTTAGACGTTTTATGTCTTTTTTTTTCTTCTAAATTTTTCCTTTTTTCTCTTCTTTTTTCCTTTTTTTTTCCTTCACTGGATTTCTAGCTAGCCGGGACACCCTATTTTGGCAAATCATCAAAAGTTTTAGGACTAAATTAAATTGATTAGGACCGATTTTGGCTGCTGTATGATAGGTTTAAGATTTTTTGGACAACTTTCCCAAAATAAAGCTCTTTTGGTAAAGGGGAAAAGTACCAAAAAAGTACTAAACCTATTGCATTGGTACTAATTTAGTCTTAAACCTTTTAGAACAATTTAGTCATCAACCTTTTCATATTGGTACTGATTCAGTCCACCCAGCCAATTAAGCCCATAAATCGTTAACGTGGATGCCAACCGTCTCACGTGACACAGCCGGCGAACGGTTGGCGTTGATGTGGAATTTTTTAATATTTTTAAATAATTTTTCCCTTACTTTTCCTTTCTTTTTTCCCTTTTTTTTTTCCTTCCTTCCCCTTTGCCTATGGCCAATGCTCGGCCATGGTCGGCAATTGACCATAGGTGAGGGTCGCCTACACTGGCTCTTGTTTGGGTTGGACCCACGTGGCCTAGGTGAGGGTCTAGCCCTCACCAGAGCTGGCAAGGGCCGCAATGCCCTTACTGGCCTTTGCCTGTGGCTGATCACCATCCATGGCCAAGCACCAACCACATGCAAAGGAAAGGAAGGAAAAAAAAGGAAAAAAATATTTTAAAAATTCAAAATATTATTAAAAATTATCCACGTCAGCGCCTGTTATGCCATATAGGACTGACGGCGTCCACACCAGCGATTTCTGGCCTAAATTTACCGGATGGACTGAGTTAGTACCAATGTGAAAAAGTTTAATACTAAATTAATATGATTGAAAGGTTTAAGACCGAATTCGTACCAATGCAATAGGCTTAGGACTTTTTTGGGATTTTTCCCATTGGTAAAGTTATAAGTAGGCACTTTCAAATTCTCCGGGCTATGACAATTCTATTCTTAGCTGTCCGACAATTTAGAAACTAATGTAGCCTACAAACAAATGTTTTATGTTTTCTGCACTTTTTAGTTTTTTTTTCTTTTTATTGAAAACGAAAAGAAAAAACAAACGAGTGAAGCACATTTGCTTCGTAGTAAATTGCGGATCAACAAACATCGCACACGCACACATCGAGAGATAGAGAGAGACCGGTATCAGGTCTGTGTCTAATGGTCTTCTGTTACGACAATTACAGTGGATAACATTATTGCCAACATCAGGAACAAAGACAAGCTTGTCTTGGTTTTGCCTCATCTTGATCTCGCTAGTCGACGAGCTTCTTCGATCGATTGGGTCGGGCTTATGACGTGAACGTGATCTCCTTTCGAGCCTAATGTGATCGGACAGATTTAGAAAGGTACAATCTCTTTTTGTACGCTGATCGGACCGTTTAGTCATCGAGGAATGTACATTTAAGAGAATGTGATTCCAAATCATATATGTGCTAACATGCACGAGCATCTTGTTCTTGTGGATCAAGGTCTCTTGCCCAATTGGTTTACATTTGCCAACTGTTCTGGTCAGCCTTTTGGATTTCTAGATTTGGCATTGTTGAGGAGGAGTTGGAATGGCCGCTTTCGCAGCTTGTAAGCTGCTGGTGGGGCGATTCAGGGGCATTTCCCATACTGGTTTCTCGAGATTGGGCTCATTTGGCTCATCGCCCGGATCGGGGGTTCGATATTACTCGGGTCCGGCTCTGCGATGTAGACAGTTTTCTCAACTCGTTAACGGAAAGCGGTTGCTTCTGGTGGACACATTGGCCTTAGTAATTACTCCTCTCTTTATCTTGTTCCAATTAATACAAATTGCTAATGTTTCAACCTATTTTCTGCTGTAAGCCTAGAGAACGAGGGGTACAACTGTAGAAGTTTTACAACGTGTTGCTTTCACTGTGATGAAAATGCAGCCACAGAATTAAGATCCCTCTTCACTCTATGCATTGCGTTTACAATTTTTGGAGGCAAAGTGGAGTCAATCTCTAAAAAGGATAACTTGATTGATGTTCTGCAGTCACTTAGTTTGTACGACTTGACGACATTAATTCTTTCATACTGACGGTTCGTGGATAGGTTCGGAGGCTGGAGGAAGAAGGCATACCAACCAAACAAGCCGAGGTGATAACGTTAGTGATAACCGGCGTGTCGCATGAGAGCATGCAAAACGTGTCTTGCTACTTCGTTTCGAGAGAGGAGATGCAGAAGGTGAAGGCCCTTTCTCAGACAATTAGTAAACATTTGAAATCGGTTCGGTCTACGTGTTTAGAGAATTGATTCGATGTTGATCCAGGTTGCATTTTGTCTAATGTGAAATTGCGAAGAGTCTTCGCTCCAGCTTAAATTACAGATTTCCGTTCTATTAGTCTGCTACACTGATATGGATGCGTGCCTTGAACCACCACAGGTTGAAATGGCTCAAGAATCCAACATGTCCAAATTCAAGTCTGAGGTCCAGAGTTCACAGGTATGGACATATCGAAAACCTTCGCGTGAGAACATTTTGATCGCCGGAAAAGTTCAGTCACTCGCCTCTATTTGCCTGTACTTTACTGTGGTGAACTTGGCTTTCCTTAAGCGTTTTCGAATTCACTGCCGGTTTCGTAGCAGTCGCTGTGGTCGGATCTTTTAGCGTTCTCGGTTCTGTGAATATAATGGTCTCAGATTTTCAATAACTGAGCATGCAGGGCCACCACTTTTCCTTGCTGCAACACGAGACCGAGAAACTACGCAGCGATATGGACAAATTGCGGAGCGAGTTGAGGTACAACCGAAATGTCTTCCAAGCACATGTTTGTCGTCGATCATATCCTTTTCCTAAAGGATCAATGTTTGCTGCGTAGGTACGAAATCGATAAAATCACAGCCGGGCAGCGGCTGGATTTGAATCACGAAAGGGGGTACGGAACTTAACCAATTCTCAATCCTCGCTAGTTTTGGTAGATTTCGTGATGCTGTCACGCCGACCGCTGCATACTCACTTCGATTCGATACCAATGTAGGCTGATAAGGGAGGATCTAGCGAGTCAAAACGCCGAAACTACGAACCTCACTAGCAAGCTCGATCGGGTTAGCATATCGGCCTATGTTTGTCCCCTTTTTTCTTCAATTCGTCCACGAGTTACTTAATTACAAATTCGATTTGTCTCTCAGGAAATTCATGCCCTGAGGGCACAGTTGGAAGCTGCGAAGTACGATCTGATCAAATACTGCATTGGCACTCTCGTGTCTATCTCTGCTGTTGGTCTCGCCACCATCCGGATCTTGATGTAGGAATTCATTTGAATGCTGGATGAGAAAGTACGGCTTTGTGCTCTTCTTTAGCTGCAACTTCAAACTTGTCGTTCTACAAGAAAAGCAAGAAGCTATCCAAGTCTCTCCTGTATATTTAGTGGCCCTATGATACGATTACATGTATTATTGGTGGCGTGAATTTTGTCATTTGTGTAGAACTGAAATATACATTTTACTGCAGATTATGCGTTAAACCGTAGCATACTTCGTATGATTCCATATTATATATTAATAAAATACGGGGTGCTATTGCCATGTCAATTAAAAAAAATGCTAGTCGGTGTTAAAAAATATCAAAACATATATTTGTTCAATTTTTTAATAAAAAGAGAAACCGACACCTTCGTCATGTCTTGGTGAAGTATATTATCTTCCAATCTTCATTTTCTTTGAGTTGAGATAAACCAAATTCTCAAATTTTATCTTCTTCATCTCTTTAGTTTAATATGTAAATATTCTAATAGTTTAAGCTTATTGTAACCTAAAATCCCCCGGAAGAACATGAAATTTTGAGGGAGGATCCAAGAGGTACCCTCTTTGAGAAGATAAAAAAAAACACTCAAGGGATAGAGCGAACCTCTTCTGTCTGCTCTATTTGCTTTATACAAAAGTCGAGGAAACGAGTGATGATTGCGTTGTTCAATATTTAAATATTGCCTGATCATGGAAATATATAATTAGGAGACAAATAAGAAAGAAAGATTCGAATTCAGGATCTTATACTTTTCTATGTGAGATTTAGTGAGAACTACTGGCAACTATTTTAAAAATCAAAATAGTTAAATGAAAGCATGATTTAATATTTTGATATTCTAATACAACCATTTGGTAAGGATATAAAGACCAAAGTATGGCCAGACACCAGATTGGTGGAGATACTCAATTGTGAGAAGTTGCGGGTGGAGATACTCAATTGTGAGAAGTTGCGGGCGGACACATCACTGGGTGGAGCTCTAGGAGGAGATGCGGGGAGGGCGGTCGGCCGAGATGATGGGTCGGCGGCAAGCAGCGGAGGGCGACCAGCGAGCACAAGCGAGGGTGTGATTTCTCATTGAAAGCTTCGTTATTACCTACTTCTTTAAAACCTGTTTCACCAGAAAATGCTCCCGCGGCGAAATATAATTCACCGAAAGTCGTTCTTCGGTTCTTAATGTGAGGAGACCGGGTTCCGTGGCGACTCCGGACAGGAAATATCCAGGGAGACAAGGAAAAACGGCGAACTTTTACTCCGAACTTCGAACCGGATTATATGTACAAACCGTGCTGGAATTTAATCGACGACAAAGCTTGAAAATACAGCTACACACGTACACAAAGATGTAACGCCGGAATTTAATCGACAACGCAACACTCGGGATAGAGATACACGCCGGAATTTAATCGACGACGTGAATCGGAAAGCTACAGCTAAGAAAAGATAAAGTGCGGTACATGAAAGTAAAGATAATTGAAAGATAATATGTTGTTTGATTTTTTGTCGGGGGTTCCTCTCTCCGGTAGATGGCCGGTGATATTTATAATGGTCGTGTGGTAACTGCTCCTTAGCAGTTTTCAATAGTTGTGCCCATGTTCTTTCATTCCGAAAATCTTGTCTTCATGTCCATGTGATGCCATGATTCTGCTTTCAAGATAACTGTCTCACGATCTTGTCCACAAGTGATAACTTCCTTATAATCATGGTTCCAAGTAACTGTTCTCTCAAAATACGCATGTATGCTCCTTAGTGGTTTCCAACAGTTACGTTCAATCCACTACCTTGACGGTTTTTTTTTACTTCACTACGTTGGCGGTTGCTTTGACTCCACTATGTTGACGGTTACTTCTTCTTTCTGCATCTCCAACCAGTCACAACCGTCGAATTCCTCTTAATGTCGAAAACTCTACAGTGATTTTCTGATTAAACTCAAAACATAAAAGTTGTAGATCCAGGAGTCTTCGTTCTTTTGGCTTTGGAATCAGGTCAATCCGATCTGTCTCGAAGAAGTTATTACTATTTTTCCGAACTAGCGCAGAACTGAAATTTCGTCGAAGTCTTCGACAAGATGAAGTCACGACCGTCGACTTCCTTTAACCTCGATGGCTTCTACAGTGATTTTCTGAGAAAACTCAAAACATAAAAGTCGTAGATCCAAGATTTTTCGTTCTTTTGGCTTTGGAATCAGGTCAATCCGATCTGTCTCGAAGAAGTTATGACCATTTTCCCGAACTAGCGCAGAACTGCAATTTCGTCGAAGTCATTGACAAGATGAAGTCACGACCGTCGACTTCCTCTTAATGTCGAAAAATCTGCAGTGATTTTCTGAGTAAACTCAAAACATAAAAGTTGTAGATCCATGAGTCTTTGTTCTTTTGGCTTTGGAATCAGGTCAATCCGATCTATCTCGAAGAAGTTATGACCATTTTCCCGAACTAGCGCAAAACAGCAATTTCGTCGAAGTCATCGACAAGATGAAGTCGTGACCAGTCTTGTCAATAATACCCAAAAATTGATCATTTTTTGGTGTAAATATATACACATGTCAGAGACATGCGTCCCTTATGTTGGCAACTTGATGATATTTACTTTCACGTTACCTCAAGTCTCCGCCATGTGTTCCTTGATGATTTTTGGCACAAACGAACCATGTTGTCAAGTTGGCCATTTTTTGGCATAAACAAAACCATATTTCAACCTCCATGTTTATCTTACCTACTAAAAAATGTCCATTAAATGTTTGCGTCACGGCCACGTCAAATCAGACAGGGTCAGCGTAACTCGAGAATGCAATGCATGGAAGTGGTCAACGCCTCGACTTTCGTTGCAACGCAGGTGATAGGACGAACTTCACCCAACATCGACGAGACATCGACGTGCATGCAATTGTCGCCTTCCCTTCTCTCACTTCTCACGTCAGGTTAAATTATTGCTCCTTAACTTCAACCTTCGACCATACCAACTTGGATTTTCTTTAATGTTCCTTGTCGTGGCGATGAAAGCGAGCATGTCTTTTGTCTCTATTTCCCTTCCCGTGTCACATGAGCTTAGCCAAAGTTTTGCACATTACAGCTAGCCTTTGGGAAAGCGAAACATGCGTGATTACATCATATTTTTAGGAAGTACATGCACTGCTCATAGATTGAATTCCACAGGAAAAGATTTCATTGGCCCCAACATATCTTAATGAGGGGGCAAACGCTAAACAATAAGTGAAGTATAACATAGAGCCAAGATGGAAAAAGACTGAGATAATATAATGTTTTTGCTTTTTTTATTAGAACAAGCAATGCACAGTTTTTTTTTTTACCCAAATTTAAAAGCTTGCCTTTGTATGATACTTTCATTTTTTGAGGGTGACGGGACGATTATTTTGAATGAACATGTGAAAGAAGAACGAAGCAACAGTTCAATACGAGCGAGGCTCGCTTTGGCTCACTCCCAAAGCTTAAAAAAGGGTGAAAAATAAGAAGGAAAGGTTGTATCAGAAGGAAAGAAAAACACCATGCAAGGAGCAAAGCACACGCAAAGTCAGCCATTTCGAGACATTTTTCACGCACGCCCTCGGTTCGGTTCGGTTCGGTTCGATGCCTCGTCTCAATACAAGGGACACAACAACCTCGGGCTCGGGATCGCCACGAGGCGGTGTGCCCTCGGCGCGGTGAGCCCGAACACGTCGCTCATGTCCATCTCACCGGGCTTCATCCCGTCGGGCAACTCCCACGTGAAGCAGTGGAGGAGGTTGGCCACTGCGTACTCGAGCCCGTAGAGCCCGAGCTGCATGCCCGGGCAAGACCTCCGGCCCGACCCGAACGGGATGAACTCGAAGTTGCTCCCCTTGAAGTCCGGAGCGCCTTCGTTCAAGAACCTGGAGGGCTTGTAGGTGTCCGGGTCCTCCCACGAGCTCGGGTCCCGCCCGATGGCCCACGCGTTGATCATGACGCGGGTCTTGGCGGGGATGAAGTAGCCGGAGACCTCCGAGTCCTCCGCCGCCTCGTGGAGGAGGAGGGGAATGGGCGGGTGGAGGCGGAGTGTTTCCTTAATTGCGCATCTTAGGTAGGTCAAGTTCTCGAAGTCGGACTCTTCGACCCGGCGGTGAAGGCCCACCACGTCGGCGAGCTCTTTCTGGACCTTCTTGAGGTCCTCGGGGCTCCGCATCAGCTCCGCCATCGCCCATTCGATCGCCGACGCGACCGTCTCGGTCCCACCAAACATCACATCCTACAAGATTTATAAACATTAATCAGGTCATGCACACGCATCTATAGTCTGAATACTTATGTCACACGCGTGCAAGCAATGTCCACTCCCATAATATTATTACTTAAGTCGGAATTGATAATATGAAAGACGGTACGAGCGGTGAAAGACATATGTGCATTAGCAAATCAAACTTGTTCAATTAAACAAGATATATTAAGTTGGTAGGTCATTGATTGCGAATTTTGTAGTGGAAACGGTGCTTCGCTTACATCATTACAGATAGACATCAAACTCGCTTTTCGTAGTTGATCTTTGTCTTTCGTACTCCACTCTATGTGCACTTGGAATCTTACTTACGTATTAAAATTCTCCTATGGATCATGTCAAGAAATAAGAAGGCCCACATCTTGACCGGATAACATTTTGAGGTCATGTCTACCCCTCACATTATCGCATAAACTAATCATATTTTGAGATTGCATTTGCCCATTTATTCTTAAAGTCGAGCGAGGTTTAAGTGATTAGCTCTAATGTCAAGGTAAATATCAATATTTGTATTCAGAACTTATCCTGATTTTAAATTTGGTACTAGACTTTTCTTCTTACCAAATGCTATCCTAAGACCCTCTTTCGGTTTGTCCCAAATGATTGTCTGAAGCTTGAAATCTATGAAGAGAAAACGTCGAGACAAATTGCTTCCGATCTTACCATGATTATGGCTTTGATGTTGTCCTTGGTGAGCTTTATGGAGTTCTGGAGATCCTCCGATTCATTGACCGTCGCCTCTTCGCTGTAGAAGGCGAGCAAGTCGTCCACCATGTCCGTCTCGGCCTCGTCGCTGACGATGGCCTTGTTCATCTTCTTCACCAGGTGGTCGTCGATGATCTTGTCAATGAACCCGTCGAGCGACCGGCGAGCCTTGACGAGCCTCTCGTTGATCCCCTGCGGGTCGATCCGGCCGAGATACGGGATGAAATCCGCGAGGTTGAAAGCCCCGAACAGCTTTGAAAACTCCTGCAATATCCCAATGAACTTGTCTTGCCCTTCGGTCGCGCTCGCTCCGAGCGCAGCCCTGTAGGTTCAAAGACAGTTTCATGTTTTAGTACTAAGCGATTTTCATGTTCTCTATTCATATGATGCTGTAGCAGTGTATCGGAAGTGGACAAGTAATTTCGAAATTTAAATTTTTTTCATAATTGGATATAGAGTTCAAAGACGAAAAATGTAAATAATGTAAAAGAATCTACAAAGCCTGTGTATATAAAATTATTCCTAGTTGCGTACCTTTTTTAAAAATAGTAATGCTCTAGAGGTATTAGCTCAGAAAATAGATAACACAAGGGATTTGGTATATAATAATTGTTAGATAAAATTTTGTAATATTATTCTATAAACGAATATGATAAACGAAATCTGGGTTTTTGTCGCACTATACTTTGGAAAATTGATAAATAAATTACGAATACTCTTTATAGCATATTTAGGTTCTTGAATAAATCAAGCAAGAGATTTCAATTATCCAATTGAAGAAACAATCTATCAAATTGAACCACTTGGTAAATAAAAGCAGAACTCGATATACACGTGGTATTTATTCTCTTCTTCTTCTTCTTTCAATTTCGTCTTATCTGACACTTTGAGAGGAAATCAATGTTTGCACCTATCAATAGGTCAGAAAAACTATGCAGTGTGGCACCATCCTTGGATAAATTTGATAAATAAATTGCGAAAATTTTCTCTATAGCATTATTTAGGTTCTTGAATAAATCAAGCAAGAGATTTCAATTTCAAGAAACAATCATCAAATCGAACCACTTGATAAATAAAAACAGAACTCAATATACACCTGGCATCATTCTTTTTTTTTTTTTTTCAATTTCGTCTTATGTGACACTTGAGAGGAAATCAATGTTTATGTGATGTGTTTGGCTCATTCCATTTCGGTGCAACTAGAGAAAGAGGGAGAATAAGAGATCTTATAATATATATAAATCGTGTAAATCAAGCTTATATTAAGGGTTCATTCTAATAAGCTCTATATAATTCATGGTCGAAATGATATTAATTCATATAATTTATAGACCACGCAATAATTTATCGAGGGGGAGAGTTTTTCTTTTCTCCCCTTGTTTATCTATACGTGTTGCTCAACTCGTGACATTCTTGATGTGATCCGAGTGTGCGATCATTTATTTTTCATCGTGCTTAAGCTTCTAGCAAGAAGTACCCACTTTATTTCAAGATAAATTAGAGCATAAGATGAGACCTTAATGACCAAGAAAATTACTGCACGGTCTGATTTTGAACACCCGGCATATCTAGAGCATTCGATCGGGTGAGCTTGATCGAATTTACATAGATTAGGTGCATTGTGTATATACCTTATTCTCATTTTATTTAAAGAATCAGCATCTTAGATTAGGTTCAGCATATGCAACAAAACAGTAAAGTCACTGGTCAGTGTCAAGTTTTGTTAGGCACTCGGTCAATCCACTCGAAAATTACCTGTACGTGATGTCCCGGGTGAGCGCGAACACCAGCTCGCCGACGTTCACGGCGGTGCCGATGCTGCCGGCCACCGTGCGCACCATCGCATCCACCTCGTCCCGCACCGACCTCCACGACTCGGCCCGCTTGCGGCTGAACACCCGCATGACGCAGATCTTCCGCATTTGCCGCCAGAACGGGCCGTAGTGGGCGAAGGCCATGTCGGCCCGGTCGTACGTGAGGTAGCTGATGGCGATGGTGGCGGGCCGGTTCGAGAAGGCGTGGTCCTGGACCTGGAGGACCTGGCGGGCGTGCTCGGGGGACGACACGGCCACCATGTGGAGGAACCCCATCCGGAGATGGAAGAGGCCGCCGTACTTGCGGGCGAGCCTGGCGAGGCCCCGGTGGGTCATCTGGTCGAGCATCAGCATGTTGCCGATCACCGGGAGGCCCCTGGGGCCTGGAGGGTAGGGGGCGCGGCGGCGGCGGGAGCGGAGGGCGAGGCCGAGGAGGAGGAGGATGAGGGTGGCGGCGGCGGCGGCGAGGGCGGCGGTCGTGGGGGGAGGCTGGCTTTGCAGGGCTTGCAGCAGGGAGTCCATGGCTTCTCTCATCGGTCTTCGATCCCTTTGTACGAATCGTTATTAAGGTGGTGCAACTAAGAGAGAAGAGTTGCTGGTTCTTCGAGGTGGTGTTAATGGGAGTTATATACAGGGACTCTTTTTTTTTTTTTTTTGGAGACAGAGGTTTTTATTTAATTAATTAATTAATTTATATATTGCGTGTTTATTTTGAGGATTATTTATGATGAGCAAACACTTGGGAGGGGAGGGGGGGTTGGTGAAGATTCCCTTTCCCCGAAATATTTTTTTTTTTTGGGTGCAATTTTGTAACGTTCTGGTGAGTTTCATGCCGACCTCGCGCGAGCGAGGGGTGAGCCGTTTCGATTAGCTTCTTTATTTTTAATTAAAATTGGATCAGTTGAAGTCCAGTGAGATCATTCATGTTTATCTTTCACTAAGGTCCAACGCTTATTCCAGATTTTAGATGGAGGGATAACGAAAGCAAAACATGGCCTCACATGGTAGAGAGCCTCCCCCCCTCCATATAAATTCGTCCGACCCAGCTAATATTTTTGCAAGAAATAGCAAGGGGGGTTAACGCTCGTCTCGTGGCCACACGAGTTTTCGATTGGTTTTTAATGAGTTTATAAGTACGTTTTCCATGTGCATCGCGCGTGATATTATGCACGACTGGTTTTACTGACACGCGGAATGGATTAATGGCATCTCGTGTTTTTCTACATGGTGTGAAAAGTAGGAATAAACAAAGGTTTGCGAGCAATACGTGCATTCCGAATTGGACTCTACCAACCTCAACAGGTCCTGCGGGAGTTAAAAGCAAATTAAAAGTTGAGGGTCACGTTTAATAAATTAAAAGTTTTGGAGACCACACTGTATATTAAGCTAAAGTTTAGGTCACATTTAAATTCAGGGATGACATTGCACGTTGAACAAATTAATAATTTCATATCGACAAGGTGAATTCATAGTCTCCTCTTTTAAAATACCCTCTGAAACTGATAGTTAATACACCTAAAATGTTATAGAACAAACTAATTATACAAAAATATCTTCTTTACAAGAGCCTTGGTAATACTAGATTGTGATAAACCTTTTTGGAAAGAAGATTTTTTAGTAGGACTACCATATTTAACAGGAGAACAAGTTCGTAATAAAATTCGAGAAGATTATAATGGTCAAATACCCTATCAAATCCTGTCATCTGGAGAATTAATATCTTATGTCCAAAAACAAGGAATGAATATGTGTAACACAATTAAACTACAAAGACAACTTAAGAAAGAACAATTAATTACAAAAAAGAGATTAGCTGATTTTTGGGCTTATACATCCTTCATATACTAACTAGACAAGCAAAAATTGTATAGGAGACTTACAATTCTAAACCACAACAAGATAGACCTAAACAAAGACCAAAAAGAAAAATCAACGAAGATATTAAATGTTTTACATGTGGGAAAAAGGAGTTATATCTCTAAATATTGTAGAATAAACAAAAGACTCAATGAGTTATCTATTGATGATAAAATTCTTTATCAACTCAATGAAGCCATGGCTGCAAACGTCATTAGAAGAATTTCTTGAAGAAAAAGTACTTCAAATTAATGAAATTGAAACCTCTTTAGAATTAGATGATCTTTCTCCTAATGAACCAACTCCTGAAATAAACATGTTAAACTTTACGAGGAATTTCTTTTAAACGTCGCAGATCAAATATCTGATCCTCAAGCCAAAAAAGAATATCTAGACAGACGTCAATCTTCTATTACATTCTATCCTAATAATACCACATCCTACAATGTCAAAGATAATCTTGATAGAAACAAGATATCCCAATCTAGACCTATCAACATTAATGATCTCAATAATGAAATCAAACAACAAAAACTAAAAAGTCAAGTCCTTAGATCAACCCAAATACAAATGAAAAACAAATCGTAGATATCAAATCCAAAATAATGAAGGAAAAGATAAAATAGAAAATGAACAACCTCATCCAAATTTTTTAATGACCTTATCAGAAATAACCTCTAGAAAATGGATAATAGCCATATCAATTCTACCCATAATGAATTCTTTTTAGATACCACCCCACTTTTTGATAGAAGTGCCGATTTAAATTGCATAAGAGGACTGATTCCAACCAAATATTGTGAAAAAACGACCAATTTCTTAAGTCAGCCTCAGGAGACAAACTCTGTATCAAATATAAACTCCAGAAGTAGCAGTTATTAACCATCATGTTAGTTATAAAACTTCTTTTCTTCTAGCCAAAGACAAAAGACAAAATATCATACTAGGAACGCCATTTATTCAATTAATCGAGCCCTTTATCTTTGCGAGTGAAAAAAAGAAAAAAAGAAACTCGGGCTTTAAATAATAAAATCACCTTTAATTTTGTCACTAAACCACAAACAAGAAATTTAAACATTTTACAAGAACACTCTATCTCTGAAATTAATTGCTTTATCAAAGATATAGAAAACCAACTCCAATTCTTAAAAGAAGACTTAAGTTTCAAGAAAATAGAGCAACAATTTCTTGAACCACCAAAAATAAAATAATCTCTCTCCAATCACACATTGAGCAAAATATTTGCTCTACCTTGCCCAATGCATTTTGGGAAAGGAAAAAACACATTGTTGAATTACCTCACAAACCCTGCTTCGTTGAAAAACAAATTCCTACAAAAGCTAGACCGACTCAAATGAACCAAGAATTTTTACAATTTTGTCAAAAAGAAATACAAAATCTCATAAATAAAAAACTGATCAGAAAAAGCCAATCAACCTGAAGTTGTTCTGCATTTTAAATAAACAAAAATGCCGAACTGGAAAGAGGTGTCTCAAGATTGGTAATCAACTACAAACCTTTAAACAATGCATTAAAATGGATAAGATATTCCAAATAACAAAGATCTATTGAATAGACTTCATGGTTCAAAGATCTTTTGAAAATTTGATATGAAATCAGGTTTTTGGCAATTACAAACAAATGAAATGACCATTATAAAATGGCATTTACAATACCATTTAGCCACTATGAATGGAATGTTATGCCTTTCAGACCGAAAAATGCTCCGTCAAAATTTCAAAGATTCATGTATGAAATTTTTTATCCCTGTTTTGAATTCATCATAGTATATATATGTATAGATGATGTTCTCATCTTGTCTTCCAACAAAGATCAACATTTCAAGCATATATCTACTTTTCGACCCAAAAAAAAAAACGGCCCAATTTCCTAAAAAACCCCCAACTTTAGCTTTTGTCCCAATTATATTCCAAACTTTTTTTTGTCTCATAAAAAACCCCAAACTTTTACTTTTGTCCCAAATCTACCCAGTTAACTTTTCGTCCAATTTTTTAATATTATTTTTTTATTTTTTCGAATTTTTTAATTTTTTCTTTTCTTTTCTTTTTCCATTACTTTTCTTTTTTTTTTTTGTTTCACCTTCTGGCCGGTCGCCGGTCCGGCGACCGGCCAGAAGCGGGGGCCGGCGAGGTCGGCCCCGTGGCCGGCGAGGCTCGGCCCCGCCGGCCGCTAGCGAGGCACGGCGGCTCGACCCCGCCGGCTAATGGCGAGGTCGGCCGAGCCCAACGCCGGCGAGGCCGAGCCTCGCCAAGCCGGCGTGGTCGAGTTCTCGCCCAGATCTAGCGAGGCTCGGCCCCGCCAGAATCGGGCGAGGTCGGCCTCGCCCAAGAACGCGAGGTTCGGCCTCGGCCGACCTCGCCGTTCTTGGGCGAGGCCGACCTCGCCGATTCTCGGCGGGGCCGAGCCTCGCCAAATCGGCGAGAACTCGGCCACGTGGCCCGGGCGAGGCCGACCTCGCCAATAGCCGGCGGGGCCAAGCCTCGCCGTCGCCGGCAAGCGGCGAGGTCGGCCTCGCCCGGAAGCATGCGAGGCCGAGCCTCGCCAGCCACGGCGAGGCTCGGCCCCGCCGACTATTGGCGAGGTCGGCCTCGCCAGCGGCCGGGGTGGCCGAGCCACGACAAGGCTCGGCCCGCTGGCCCCCTCCTCTGGCCGGTCGCTGGACCGGCGACCGACCAGAAGGTGAAACAAAAAAAAAAAAGAAAAGGAAAGGAAAAAGAAAAGAAAAGAAAAAATAAAAAAATTCAAAAAAATAAAAAGTAATATTAAAAAATTGGACAAAAAGTTAACTGGGTAGATTTGGGACAAAAGTAAAAGTTTGGGGTTTGTTATGAGACAAAAAAAAGTTTGGGATATAATTGGGACAAAGGCTAAAATTTGGGGTTTTTTAGGGAATTGGGCAAAAAAAAAACATATATCTATTTTATAAAAATAGTCAAATGAAATAGATGAGTGGCTTCTCCTACCAAAATGTCACTTTTCCAAACAAAAGTTAGATTTATCGGGCAATACATTCACCAAAGAACTATTGTCCCCATTAAGAGATCAATCCTTATTTGTAGAAAAATCCCAGATGAAATAACAAATAAAAAAAAATAAACAAAGAACATATTGTTCAATTTGTTTCTAAATACTGGAATCAAACCTAGCAAAATTACTCTACAATCAAAAAGAAAATTTTATCAACTGTTTTAACAATTTCCAAATTCCAAGGAGATTTATTAAACCAAAAATTCTTTGTACGAATCGATTGGAAATCAGCAAAAGAAGTTTTACAAAAAGATATTTTAAATATAGCATCACAATAAATTTTTGTCGGATGGCAAGTTATTTTATAAGTATTTAGTTTTGACATAGAATTTATAAGTGATTCTTCAAACTCTTTACCAGATTTCCTTATACAAGAAATTTTAGGGGGATACAAACATGCCTCCCAAATCCTCAAAAGCCAATAAAGGCAAAGCCATTACCATATCATCAGAAAAGACCCCCACAACCAAGTCACAAATGACAAGTGACAACAGCCAAAATATGGGCAGAAATGGCTGAGGAAGAACAACCATTATCTCTATTCAGCCAACCACAATCACTATCCCAGAGCATCTCCCAAGAATTGTCCCAACTACCCAAAGAAACACGTATACTTATATCATTCATTATTTACAAAAAATCAAAACGAAAGCAACATTCCCAATGTATAGAAATAAGTCTATATTCAACTTCACTTGCT